GAAGAAACAGGATTATGACTCTTATATATATCTACTATCTTGGGGAATTATTAAAAACAACTCCTAGTCAAACACAAAGATTTTACCTAAATTCACAAATCATTAGATATTATTCTTCAGCTTCTACACATACATATTACCTTTTTAGTAAAGTTGGAATTCATTAAATTTATAGGATCCAATTTACTACCCTTCACCTAATTAGACAATTGTCACACTCTGATTTTATTATCTAACATAAGATTAAATTTGTAGAACTTATAGATTAGTGGAAGAGAATTGTTACACTTGATTTTTACCCAATATCTTCAATACCCCTTGTCCAATTTTTACTAACATTGACTCTTGAAATGTTAGCTGTTCTAGAATAATTTTGTATTATAGATCTGTTACTGCACCTTCAGTATCTATTGTATCTATTGTACCTTTACTATTTCTAGAATATTTCTATTTTATTTTATCTTTACTTTTTATATTATCTTTGCCAAAGTATTTATCTATATAAATGCTAATACAGTTAAATATTCTAACAAAGATAATATTTATATCTTAGTTTATATTTTTACCATAGCATATATTTATCCTGTACAAAAATATTATAACTTAAACATATATATAAAGATTCCAATTTTGTCTAGAAATTGGCAGGCTTGAACTTATATTTTATCAAATAAATAACTTGACTTTTACAAAACAAATCATTATTGCCTTTTTCGCTTGATTTCATATACTTTAGAACTGTACTAATTTATATACCTTTAGAAACTTTAGCATATCACATTGGTCCCACTTATCTAAAGTATCTTTCTGCTATTAGTTCTCTGTCTTTATCTTTTTCCTAAGATAAAAATGATATATGACAATAGTAAGTTGTTAGAAAGCCATGTGTATAAAACTGTGATATTAATATAATACTTTTTTCAAAATTTCTTATTTAATAATTAACAGGAGAGAGAAGATATTAAAATTAATTAAAATAAATATAGTCTAGTTTATACATGTGATATAAATTATTTGCTGTTGACTCAATTTCCAAAATTTTTAAAAATAATTGTGTCATGACTTAATTATTTATATGTTTTAATAGTAACTTAATTAATTGTGTCAAATAATTGTATCAATTATGTCAAGAATCTATAAATTTTAGTAATATATATAGTCTAGTTTATATACTGTATATACTGTATATGTGAAAAGTCTTAATTATAAAATCAAACAAATATCATTACTTCATTTGATCCAATTATTATAAGACTAATTTTTAGTTATTATAATAATACCAATCAAAAAATTATTATATTACAATACTTTTTTTAAAAGTTATAATTTCAATATTTACTAAATCAATATGTAATTAACTTTTTATAAGAAACAGTACTTGACAAATAATACCATCAAATATTATACTAATATTATTTAACTGTCTTTATCTAAAGTTGAACTGATATTTTGTAATATGATCTATGAAATACTAACTACTTACTATACTATAAAAATTGTAAAATATCTTATATATAAAAAGTAATAACATCTCTTATATAATCAATTAATCAGTAATTTTAATATTAGTTTGTTTATAAAAACTATTTAAGTAATAAAGAAAAATAAATATTAAAATTGATATACAGTATATTAAAAATAATATCAAGCAATTATAAATATCTATTTAAGATTATATAAAATAAAATTTAAAATATACAATATATATATATATATGTGAAAAAAGAAAATATTAAACAAAAATAAAATTACAAAAAAATTAATTATAATATAAATAATGCCTAATGTTACTAGTGATTCTACTTTCTTAAAATATAATGGCACTTTTCTTTTTATTTATTTATTTTTTTTTTTGAAGGGCTAAGTTGCGATACACGCGTGGATTTTATTATTAAATCAATTAAGATTACAATTACCATATATGAACAGTCTATTAACTATTGCTAATATTAACTCACACTACTCATCTTTTTTACCAGAATACTAACTTATACCAAGTAGGTGGATCCATACCCTGGTTTATACTTATAACTCCCTACTTGTAAATATAAGGTAAGAAAAATCCCGTACCAACAGTAAAAAACCTTCCTAGTAGTCTCCTTTTTGGCTTGTGACCTGACTCTTTCCCAAAATTGGGTTACCAATTCAGATTGCGCCAACATCAAATAGGGAGATGGAGGTCCAATCAAATTTCGGAGTCTGCCGATTCAGTTTAGAGTACTAGCTGATTGAATATGACCTATATCAGAAAACTAGCCAATCTGAATAGGAAGGATAGTAATACGGAGTCTGCCGTTCCAGTTGGGGTTATGGGCTTGTACTAGAGTTAGACCAGAAGCCTTGCCTTATGCAACCTTTCCTACTTCGACCTGTTTTCAGCTCGCAATCGTCAGAAAGACCAGAGGTCCCATCTTCATGCAGCCTAGCTTGATTTGGTAAATGATTTTCAGCTGATTGGATACAACATGTATTGGAAGCCGGTCAACCAATTATAAAGGTGATAAATTTTTGTAACCAGGCAGGATTGAACCCTAGACCTTCTCCTGATGACCTATGGAGCATTACCACTGTGTTATAGACCCATAGGTCTATATATTATTATTACTATTGAAATCAATAATTAATATATATATATAATATATTTATTTTTATTAAAAATAATTTTTGTATTATTATAGATTAGGAGCTTATTAATAGCAATAATAAAATCTTTAACTTTATAATAATCCAATAGAGGTATAAGATATAACAAGAGATAGAAAGGTAGAAAGAAATATAGATTTGATGGGTTTATATAATTTGAAGAGTTTATTGGTTAGAACAATATAATAAATATGACAATTTTTAACTAGTAAACATCTTTTTATATATTAATTTTTTGGTTTTTTTTATTGTTACATTTTTTTATATCATTTTTATACTTTTTATAGCAAAAAAAATATTAAAAACTAAATTAAAAAAAATAAATTAATAAATTAAAATAAATAATAATAATAATAAAATAGAAAGCTAATTACTTATTTTGGCAATCTTTATAATATGAAATTGTCATTTTTAAAATTTTAAGCCATATTATCAATTGTTGTTTTTTTATAATAGTATAGATAATATTGAATTAATTACAATTAAGTATTAATTTTATTAATTTATTTAATAAAATTTATTATATTAGATTTTAAAAAAACATTTTAAAATAAATATAATATATAAGCTGCTTTGGGTTTTCTATTATTAAAAAAGTCATTTATAGATTTTTTAGATACAAAGCTTTAGAAAGTCTGAAATTAGTTATGACATTATTAAGCCTATAGAAAAAAAAACAATTTCTTATATTTTATAATTTACTATTATATCCAAATAATAAAACCAGTCATATTTATATCAAAAAAATAGTTTAAAATTACAAGTTAATTAACATTAGACCTATCTTTTTTGTCAACTTTATAAAAAAAAGTATTTACAGAAATAATAAACAAAAGATTAATTAAAATACTTAATAAAAACAATATCCTATCTAAATTTAATTGTATTGATCTTCTTAGATAAATTATTTTAAAACTATTAACAATTTTTAATTTAGTTTTTCAAGTTGCAAATATAAATAATAAAAAATTCTGGTTTGTCTTTTTGAATATAATAAAAACATTTAACTCAGTATATAAAATATGGTGTAAAAAAAATCCAGAATTTTTTTAAACATATATATATATACTGTATATATTGTTATATGCCAATCTAACCTCAAAGATCAGCATAAGACAGAGAACTGATAGCAGAAAGATACTTTGAATGGCAAAGGCCAATGTGGTATGCTATAGTTTATAGAGAAGATACTTGAGGTTTTAAAGATTATAGGGCAAGAGATGTAACAATTATAATTGTATAAAGATAAATATAATTATGGTGATTTGTAAAGAATTGTTTATTATCAAAATATTATTACACTTCTAATTCTACCAATTTTACCTTTAATTTTCCTACAAGTCTCTCTTCATTTTCTTTACTACTTTTCTACCATTTCTCTATTATTTTCCTCTCTGTACATAAAATACATAATTATTTTATATATATAAAAAAAAATAAAGAATATAATTGATATGCTAAATTATTGAGAGTAACAAATAATACAAATATGGAAAAGTTAATTAAAGATTAATTTGTAACATGTTTCTCAATTCTTCATATTATAACTTAGGGGATTATCACTTGGTCATGTGATATAATAATATATTTTGATTGAATACTATAAATGTTTGACCAAAATCCTTGATTATCGCAAAAGTGGTAACTGAAACCTTTTTTCAGGTTCTAAGTAAAGTTGTTCAGCGAATAATAATACTATAGGTCTATTATTAGCGAATTAATGTATTAGATTGATGCTTGATATGAAATTTCCTATTTCGGAAAAGTTAAACTTTTAGGTTTAACAATATATATATTTAATATTAACTGTACTATATAAATGGATTTTATTAATTATTTTTGAAGATTATATATATATATAAACAGTCTATTAATTATTGCAAATATTAACTAATACAATATACTGTAATTAATCAAATATATCAATTTATATTTAAAAGTAGGTCTTTACATTAGTATTAAGAAAATAAAAATCTTGTCATTAGTTTTAAACTATCTAATCTTTTTAAAAAGGATGGAAATATATTAATTAAGTCTTTATAGATATCTTATTACATTATATCTTTTTCTTATATATAGCCACAATATTCTAAAGATTTAATTTGAATTATACTTTCTAGTAAATGTTTCAAGACTTGTTTCTATAATTGACATATATTATCAAATCTGAAGACTATCAAGTCTTGTAGGCATAACTTTTAAATTTTCCAAAGAATACTCTATAATATTAATTGGTTTAGATTTTCAAATCTAGAGATATGAATACTAAGCAGAACATAATTTTTATAGAACTTGCCTGAATATTATTTATACAGTAATGTTTTCAGTTAATATTTTTTCAAAGTAATCTAACTATAATGGGTATACTAATTGATAGGGATAATTTTTCTGTTAGATCAGAAGTTTTTTCTTATACAACCTTTCTTTTTAATCTATTTTAGTCTGCAATTGTTGGAAAAACCAGAGCTTACATCTTTATACAACTTAATTAGATCAGAATAAGATCTGTATTTTTAAGATCAAGTATGTAGAAAAGTCAAAAAACCTGCATATAAATATCATAAAAATGTTTGTTTTCTGTAGGTATTAAATTAGAGACATGTATTTTAAAACCTAGGAGCACTATCCACTATGTTATTAACCTACAGGTCTTATCTATATTTTTATTAATAAATTAATATAAAATTATTTAAATGTTATAAAACTTTATAAATTTGTTTTTAAAATAAAACTAATAAAAATTATATAATTTTTTACTAAGTTTAATATTAATTTTAAAGTTAATTTTAAATATAAAGTTAATGTTTTTTTTATAAAAATAACAAAAAAATTTTTTTCCATTGTAATTTTTAAAAAATTATTATCAATTTTATTAAACTAATTAATAAAATAATTTTATATAAAAATATTTATAGTATTTAAGAATATAAAATTTTTTATTATAAAAATATTTAAAATTTAAAGAGAGTTAAAATTTTTAATTATTTTTTAAACTATTTTTTATTATAAAACTTATAAAAAAAGTTGAGAATTAAAAATTTTTTCAACTGTTATTGTATTTAAAATAAAAATTAAAAAAATATTATTATTATATTTATATATTGTAAGAGGGATCAAAAAATTAGATAGATTCAACATATGTCATCTTCACCCAATTAGGGTTTAATTGGGGCTTGAGGGATTTTTGGGATTTTAGGGATTTTAGGGATTTTTGGGATTTCTTAACATGTATATAAAGAGAGGGATGTACTGGAGAAAAAGCAACAATAAAATACCATCCTTTTATCATAAACTCAGATTAATATCTAACACTTTCACTTACCTCGTGCCACATCTCCATGCCTCTTTCGACGTTACACGATCAGTGATCGCAACGTAGCGACAGACTCGTCATTATTACCTCCAACAATATATAACTTATTAATGCAAATTATGTCAAACTTGAATTGGCAAGAAAACAACTTAACAAAAAGTATAACACATTTAACTTTATATGATAAGTTTGTGATAAAATAGTTTGAATAATCCAAATACAAAAGGATTTACTTTGTGTTAAACATTTAATTTAATAGTTTTTTGAACTCAGTAGTTGTTGTTTTATAGTGATAATATGTTATTGTTATTTTTCAATTAATATTTAATAAGATGTAATTATTGTTTTAATATTTATTAATAATAAAAGATCATATGATTATATGGGTTTTCAATTTTAAAATTGTTTATATTAATCTTTAATGAATATAATATATATAAATTGAGATTTTATAAATATAATTGGTTAGAAATAAAATATTAATCAGTTATTAGAGATAAATTTATTATGGTTTTTTTGTAATATAGTATAATGTATTGAATAATATTGAAGGTTATATTTTGTATATATTGCTGTTTTTCAAGCCAACAATATAAACAATTTTAATCTAAAGTTTTGTATTTTGTATTAAAAGAAAATCCTTTAACAAAAGAACAAGAATATTTAAAATGATTTGTATAATAATAAAAGACAATTTGATAAGAAATAAAAATAGAACAAGCCTCAAAAAAAATTTATAAAAAAACAACTGCCACAAGTATTTCCTCATATAATTCAAGAGAAAATAAAAATTTTCAAACTTGTTTTTTTCTAATCAGAGGTTCCATCTCAATGTACTAGTGTGCTTTTTTGATTTTTTTAAGACTTTTATATTTAAAATTTAATTATATAATAATAAATTATTATTTAATTTAAAAAAAGTGTAAAAATTTTTCTTTTTTTAAATTAATTATTATAATACAGTATAATTCTTGGTTTTAAATAAAATAAAATGAAATAAATAAATAAATAAAATTTATTTATTTATAAAGATTTTTTTTTTATAAGTTCATATACTGTACATAATTTAAATATATATAGCTAAAAATAATCAATAATCAATAAATAAAATAATAAAAAAAAATTCTTAAAAACTCAATTCATACAATAAGATTTTTTTATATTCAAATATGAAATAATAATATTGACAATAAAAAATTATAAATAATTTTAAATTTAATAATATGGTTAACTTTGGTATAATGCTTATTCATATTATTATATTAATATTAATCCACTCACAATATAATCATAAAACATATAATTTAATTTCGTATTTCTTCAAATGAATTTAATATTTTTTTAATTGCAAATAAATACTAAATAATTTTATTTGTATAATAATTTGATTTGTTTAAAAAATTATTAGGATGTTATTAAAAACTATAAATTTGATTTTCATTTGACTTAATGAATTTATATCACCCTATATCAATAATAATACGTATGAATTTACAGCACCTTATACCCATAGTAAATTTTGAAAAGTTTTTCTAATTCATTAATCACTGTATATTTACAGTAGATGTCGTATGTTCGCACAACACTCTAATTATAGCAGCTTCGTAGAGTCAAGATTTAAAATAAATCAATAGATTACGTTATAGCCATCCTTTTATCGGTAATAATTCGATATATGGTTTACTAATAAATTCATTCTCTTATAGTTGTTCGTGCAGTACATGCCGATCCTTGTGGAGTTGAGGAACAATCCATGCATCCATCCTTTTATAGTACATATTTGGAATATCTTACAGTATTTGGTAAGTAGTATTAGCAATTTATTTATGTATTACCGAAAAACCTTTAATGAAAATTCCAATGTGGTACTTAAAGCCTCTTATTCCACAAATATGCCGTATTATCCATCACGGACTTGTGCGAGTGTTTATTATTTATTACGAATAAGACAATTAAAGATTTACAGTATCGGCTTCTATCAATTAATGGCCGATTTTTATAATATTGTTAACGAATTTCGTCGGATTGTATCGGAAGAAAGTATTTTCTGAGAATGCTCCTTTATTTACGAATTCACGACTAAATATACACGCCTATACAACTAATTTGATTTCAAATTATAAATATCGTTAGACCATTGTTCATATAAGAAAAACCTCAAACCAGATCGTCTTGTTCTCCTGTTCAGGAAATTAATTAACTACATAGTTTATCTAGACAAATTGTGCATTTTCAGCAGCATTCTCTTTAATGATGGCTTCCGAATTAATGCTAAGAGCGCTATACGTCGTGTTCCGAATTTTATTATTTCTCATTAATGCTGGATGCTTAGTGTTAGGTACAGATCTGAAAAAAACGGATGAATGGGGATTTTGATTAGAATCTTATTATAGAAGTTATTGTGTATATTGATGACAATTTCCTCTAACCTCGAAAACTTTATTTACATTTGTGAATGATTTATCCTTTAAATATGCGATCACTTCCAAAGAAATCATTCTAATAATAGATTGGAGTGCAAACTTGGGTTATGATATGGGTTTATATTTCAGCGAGCGACGGTAAGTTTACTTTTAGAGAAAGCTCATTGGTTGCGATCGATTAATCATTTTCCCTAAAATAACAGGTATGAATACGAAGGAATAATACCCTACTTTGATGCCGTGATATTAATTGGATTATTAGTTTCGTGTAAGCAACTTTTATTTTTCTGAATATCGTTGAGACTTTCCTTGTTCCTTTTTTCACTTTTAATACTTTTGTAGCATTCTATATTTTCACCATTGGTGGCAGGAGATGGCGTTCGGGGCCGCATATAATTGATGTCGTATTGGACTTGTAAGTTATTAACGCAATTGAATTTTATTAATTTGTTTGATATGGGATAGATGTTGTATTCTTTGCATGCACGGTCTTTATTATATTAAGGGAAAGTGATTTGGTTACGCTCTAAAATATTTAATATGGATACATGTATAATTTTCGTTTCTTTACTGTTATTAAACCATATTTTTTATTTTTGTAGAGTTCTATTCCTGCTTTTTTTGTCATCAGGTAGTTTTTATAATTTAAAGGATTGACTCATGTTTCATGTGCTAACACTGATTAATACTTCATCGCTATTATTCGTAAACCAATAGGTGTAACAAATCTTTATCCCACGTTTGTAAACAATATCAGTCCATTCAAATGCGCTATTGAAAATTACGACTCCAATCGATGCCTGTTCAGATTGTTGAACAAATACCTTGGCTGGGCATTGGCTGTTCTCTATCTAATAATGTTCTTCATTTCCCGCTTTACCTACAAACACCGTCGGGCAAATGCTGAACCAATAAAACCCCATTCATTCTCCCCAGATATACCTGGCGCAACTGAGGTTGTAGATGCATCTGACGTAGATAAGTCAAGAAAACCTTTTAATAGTACAGGAAAAAAGGGTTTCTATGAAAGTGGATCTTTCCAAGGGTCAACAAATTTCAGTGATAATACGAGTGCATTCGGAGTGGGAGAATCCAAAGATTATTACGAATCGCATGACGGTTATTATATCTCAGACACAAAAGTCAACAAAGGTTACGGTTCATCAAGCACTCCACCGCTGCCATCTATATCACCAAGTTCTCAACACTCGTCATCGACATCACCACAGAATCATGGATTTAATAATTACAATTATAATACCGAATCAAGAAATATGAGTTTTTCTTCAGCCTCAACGCAACAACAGAATCGACCCCCATTACCACAGCATCATAGTTACGGTCCAGTTGTACCACAAAACGTTCAATACGCGGAAACGCGTTATAATAATACACAAAATCCCGAATATCAATATGTGCGTGGGACCCGGCAGTATTATTATCAAGAAGCACAGGAAAATCGGCCGTATCAACAAGGGGTACAAAATACTCCTTACCAACAACAATATCAAGAAGAATCTCAAAATATACAGCCAACAACAACGTCACCAAATTATTATTATTATTATAGGGATGATAATTACGGCGGAAACGGAAAAGGTTCGGGAGGTGGATACTAAGAATTTTTTTATTATCACAAGATGTCTGGGCTTCTATAATGTACACACCTTTTTAATTTACAAATTGTATACATCATTCTGGTTTTATTTTAAAAATATTTTTATTTTATTCAAAAATGAGGTTATGTATAACAAATTAAATATAACAATTTGAAAAAATTTTAATTTCGTCACGTTTTAACCATTACGCTAGATTAGCCTCATAATTGTCAAATAATGATTGATATACTAAACAAAAATATTTTTTAAGCGTGATTTTTATTTTTTATACATAAATATTTTGATAATTTTTTTGACTTAACCTGCGGTATTCGCGCAAACTACTAGTATTATTTTACAAATTATAATAAAAATTTATTGTTTCATAATGATCGTGAAAATTTATATCAATTTTATCGGCACATGATATTTATTATATTTAATATTTGCAAACAGCATACACTGGATGATGTAATGAGGGTGGAGATAGAAATGGAGTTATATCAGTCATAGAATTTAAAAAAGTCAAATCACCATTTGCAAAAGCTGGAATTTGTTGTTTTGCTTTATATTATTGCACTACGGAAGGTATTGTTATTTCACCGATAAGTTACATAGTATATTGTATTTGGTCTTTTAAAGTACTTTACTTTATGGTTAGATACATGGGAGGTGGTTTATGAGTCAGCACAGGTTTGTATTAATGCTGAAAAAAGCTTTTAAATTATAATTTAGAAAGATCTAGAGACATCAGTGTATTTACACTCTGGTAAAGTCAACACTTTTGAGTATTCTCTCACCATTTTTACTAACCTTGTATATTGTCGTGGGCTCTCCGGCAAGCCCACCCTCCTGGTCATCTCTTCGGTTCACAATAAGGTAAGTTTCTAACTCTTGAGACGTGTTTCCGACTTGGCCGTTCTCTCACTTTAACTTCTCTACCGACTAGCCTAGAACCCTTCTAATGCCAATTCCCTTAGGCAAGCCTCGGTTCTCTCTTGTAGTCGCGTAGCCCAAGTTACAAGTCTACTTTGGCACACTAAACACAAGGTAAGAGTTTATCCGTCAAACGTTACTTTATTGTTTATTACTTAAGGTGTTACTAACTCTAAACTAAATTTCAATCTCCAAAAATTGTCAGCATGCGCCTGTTATTTACATGTTTACGTCTGATCACTATTCTACACTACTCTAGAAATTTCCACCAATAAACTTTCCCACACTTTAATCCTCTAACTTTTCCCACCGTCGATCTCATAACACACTAATTACGTGACGCGATGGTGTGTCACGTTACTGTGCCTACTTTTTACCCACGACAAAATATTTATGCAAAAATTGACCACCGGATCCTCATGCGAATGTCATTTTTTAATAATGTTCCAATTGCAACAAACTTTTAATTTATGGTAATTTGAACGAGCTCAAAATCAGATTAAAGCTGTTATATTGGATAGTGATTATCATCAGGGAGTTTTTTTAATAGAAAATTGTTTTAGTACAACATTCATTTAAGTTTTCAAGTTTTTTTTAATTATGCTAGTGGCAATTGAACATAGGATATTTTTTACTTTTTACTCTCAATCAAATTCATTATGTGGTTTATTTAATGCTTCCTTACTTTACTGGAGACTAATCAGAATTGGGAAATGCAAAAGGTGAAGGGTTCAATATTAATATTCCTTTACCAAAAGAAACTAATGATGAAGAATTTACAAAGAAATTACAGTGAAAGATGTAAATGATTCTATTGCAGAATTTAGGATTACAACTTCAGGATATAAAAAAATCACAAATTTGATAAAATCAATCGAGTTGCCTATACTTTTTGTTCTTGAAGGTGGATATCACTTAGAAAACTATAGTTTCATATGTTACCAAAACATTGTTTTATTTTAGAGATGATGCAGGCATTATTTAATTGTTCTTTCTGTTGATTCTGCAAAAATCTCTTTAGCAGATTAATTTCTGAATTATGATATTTATATTTTTTTACTTGAATTGTGATATAATACCACGATAAAAATAATTAAAATTTAATTTTGTATAATAGAAAAAAATACAATATATTCGCGTAAAAGTTAAATTTTATTATTCCTTTTTTATGAATAGTTTAAACTTTATTCGTAAATATACGTATCTTCGTGTCTGAGCATATTATGATAAGTGAACGTTAAAAATTTTAAATTAGTTAAAATTATAAAATACTTGTTAAATTTAAAAAAATATTATTGTTATTATTATTTTAATTTTGCCAATAATATCAAAACCATTTCTTTAAAAAAAAAACAAATTTAATAAATTTATCGATTAATTTGTAAAATATTTGAAAATTTGATATCTAGAATCCGATGATAGATTTTATAAAAAATTTTGAAAATCATTTTAATAATTATTATCACAGAAATAAGTTAAAAAATAATTGAATTTTTATATTTGCTTTTACCAGATTTTTTGAAACCAAAAAAAAAAAAATGATTAATATGTAAAATATAGGGTTTATATATCATATATTATGCCAATTGTTAGCTGTAAATTTTTTACATAAGTCATATTATTTAATAATCGAACTATTAAATATGTGAAAATCAAAAAATTTGAATAGTTAGTATACTGTATTTATAATTAAAAATATCAAATGCACATTAAATATGAATATACAAATTAATAAGATATTAATTTATTGATTTTATTTTTTTTAAAAAAATAAAGGATAATCAATATTGTGTCGATAAAGATCATTATTTGTAGAACCTAAACATTTTAAAATATCAAAAACATATACGTATTTATTTAAATAATAGATAACTAGAAAATGAATAAAAACTTTTTCAACACGTTACATTTTACAGTAATAACATAGCAAAACAAGACAATGTGAACCCTGAGGCGGATTACGATATGACCGACTTTTGCACTTGATACAGTAGTCTCTTCTTGAACGTTTTTCCCTCTAGGCGCGTCTCAATATTACAAGTGTCACTTTTCACTGTGCAAAAGGTAACGTCGTGTCTCTTCCTTAAAGTCGTATACTTTACTATAGTGACGGTATTCTCAATTTATAATTTATGGAGTATGAATATTTATGGTGCGAAGTAAAATAGTATTTATTTAAGAAAGCGCGAGTGAGTCAAAAACAAACAAGTGTTCTAAGACAAAACTCTAAATCTCGGATCTAGAACTTGTTACTTAAAGCTACCCAAACTATCCTATTTATATGTATTGTCGACGCGTCCCTACCCAGTACATGTTATTACCAATTATTGCATCACTTCATTATCATTGACACGATTGTTACGCGACGCGTCACAATGTCACGCTCCTATCACTATTTTCACACAACAAAATTATTCAGGAATTTTACTTTCTTTTAATTTCTTAACTTGATAATATTCTCGTTATATGCAGAGGGCATATTATGGTTAAATCTTACCAAATTGCTTAGATAATTTACAATACACAGTAAATGAGTCGTTAATATTGTACTAAAATTGTTATCGTTAATTATTGCCCTCCTCGTATCTGTTACTTGTCACAAAATATACCCGACAAAAATTTAGTCAGATATTAAATTTATTTCCAAGTCTTCTTGTACAGATTTATATTTGATGTCTGAGTAATTATTAATTGATCTCATGACAACATTTATAATGTTATATGATTAAAAATACCTTCCAAAGACCTTTCATCCTCTTTCAAAGTCAAGAATTCCATGTTAATTTATTGTTTGGTTAATAAAATGCAAATTGCTTAAACTTACCGTGTGAAGTATATTGTTGAATTAAAGAACATAACAATCTACTTGTATAATATACTCCGGGGTTTACAATATCGATATTATCCTGGGATTTTCTCATCTCTATTAAATCTTTTCTATATTTTTCAGCTGAAATAAAGCTCTCCTCGTCCTCTTTATCTTGAAGCCATTTATTAAGCTGTTGTTTAATATCCCTCATACTCGGCCGATCATTTGGATTATTACTCCAACACTTGTTTATTAGATTTTTAAAAACCAGTGGTGTATCTTTCATAATTTCAGGTCTTAATCCATGGATAATATCTTGTATAAGAAAACAATCATGATTTCTATCCATGAATGGTTTATGTCCGGATGTAAATTCCCACATTAGCATTCCAAAGCTATACACATCGGACGCTTGATAAAACCGATATTCTTCAAAAACCTCGGGTGCCAAATAAGGTACCACTCCGAATATTTCTTCACAATTAGAAGTCGATTTGGTTTTACATAAACCCAGATCAGCTATTCTAATAGAGTCCGAAATATTATTCACTCCTAATAATATATTTCCTGAATGAATGTCACAATGAATTAAACTCATGTTATGAATTTTTCAAACCTAAATAAAAACATTCATCAATTCTTAATCCAGTGATCAATAATTAGTTCAGTAAGTTTTACATAAATATCTACCCTTCTGCAATGTAACTCAACTTTTCCACCTTTTCTTTCCATGTGATTTTTTCAAAATACCTTGACAAGTATTGGTGCATACTTCCATCTTTCGCATATTCTAGAACCATCATGTATACATTTGTAACTGGATCTTTTGTAATACCTACACAACGAACAAAAAATCTATCTAGATCAATTATTGTGTTGATCAACAGCTATAATAGATAGAAAGGAAAATATAATGATTATTTATTATAAAGAAATCTTAGTTAAAATAAAATTGCCAATACAAACAAGCATAATTATCTATCGATTGAACTTACTTCTTTTAAAAAATCAATAGTTAAATTCCCTGAACAATATAAACTTTTAAGGGCTACTTGGATGTTCACTCCGGATTCTTGAATTAAGTCAGCTTTAAATATTTCTCCAAAACCTCCGCGTGTCAAGTAATGGACATTTTGAATTTGCGAATACGGAATCCATTTTTCTCCGTTTTCAGTAAAATTTAAATAACATTGAAATGCTTTCTCTTCGTTTTTAGATGTTCCAATTCCATGTGCATAACAATTTCCAAGGTTGTATAACCCATTTATTTCTCCTCCCGCTGTAGACTTTGAGTACCATTGGAATGCTTTCTCTTCGTCTTTTATTGTCCCAATTCCTCGTTCATAGCATTCTCCAAGATTATTTTGTCCCAATATACTTCCACCTTCAGCTGATTTTAGGTACTAATAAAATGCTTGTTCTTCGTCTTTTTTGGTTCCAATTCCATTCTCATAACAAAATCCAAGATCACATTGTCCATCT